ACCTACGGACAATGGCCCACACTGCCTCCCTCTGTCGCAGAGGCCAGGCCTGCTCCAGTTGGTGGAAGTCCTTCCAGCCTGCTTCCCTGAGTGCAGACAAAGTGGCGCAGAATCACCCCACCCCACCACCCTCCGTCCCCACTGGCTGACCCACAGTGACTGTGCAGTACAAATAAATAATAGGCCTTTGTTATTTTTAGCCACTGATATTTTGACGTTGTCTTTTACTAAAGATACAAAACTATAAAAAGTCCAAAAGATTTCTGACTGTTTCCCTAATGACTGCTTTGATAATTTGGCATTTCCATGAAACCGAGTTTTCAAAAACGTCTCTCCTTCTCCTTATGCTTATGCTGTTACAGTGGTGCATTAAGCATGTGCCTCATCTCTGTTGGGAAATGAATCCTTCTTATGATGGGAACTTTGCCTGATGGTAAAGCACAGCGGATTGCAGGGGCTATTTTAAATACTGGGCTAAGATTCCCCCACTGTCACTGACCAGCCACGTGTCCTTGGAAAATTTACTCAAACTCTCTAAATCTCAAACTTACTTAGCTATAAAATTGGCGTTGTAATTTCTATCTTCCCAATTTATTGTGCCATGGTGGGGAAAGCACACAAACTGTAGCAACTCCCCTCCAGTCGTCTCCACGGTGGGGCTGATACTGCCTACCTCCCCACCTGCGGTCAGGAGAGCTCCGAGCAGGTATATGCACTAATTACACAGCAGTGGATGTAATCCCTGTGATCATCACTAGAGTGATAAATTGTATAGGACCTAATGTGTACTCAATAAATCTCAGCTGCTTCCCTTGCCCTCAGAGAAAGAGCCCTTCCCGTTTCGAAACGGAGTCATTCGGAATCGGATTATCAATAGTCGATCAGCAGGGTGGCCAATGACCTACTAAGAAGAGAAAGGGGCTTAGGAAAAAAAAAAAAAGCCTCTGCTTTAGACCTATTTACAGCGATACATGTCTGGATCTCTAAGATGCCAGGTTTTTTTCCATTCTGCAAACACATGGCTCCCATTAGTTGACTGATACTGACACATCCAAGGCTTCCAAAGTGCTCTGGGCCTCTGATGAGTGAAAGGCTTGCCTGCCCAACAAGGAAAGTCAGGCTCTGCAGGCATGAAAACGCTGCCAGGGGTGGGGCAGCAGAGGTGCTGACTTTAGGTAGGAGACCAAATCTGGCTCTGTTTTTAATGACCATCCTGTCCACACCTGAAAATAAACCAGCCACACCTGGTGAGATTTCTAATGCTGTAGCGCTCCGAGGCTTCTGTCACTGTGCATATATGGCTTCCATTAATCAGAGGGAGTGTTGTGTGGGTACCGGCTAAACAGGGACTGGGGAATAGTGAATAATTTGCACCATCCCTGCTGAGCTTTCTAGTCCAAAGAAACCCAAGCTCCAGGGTTGTGCTCCTTTTATTTTGTGTTCTAAGGACATCGTTGTTGGGTTGGCATCTCAGAAACAGGCCTGAATTCTAATTAGTTTGCAGTTAGAGGCTGCGTAGTGGTAACTCAATCCTCACCTAACCTTTATCATCTGTTTCCCGTCTTCGAACCTGCACGGTCCACTTTTGACCTGCGCAACAGTGATGTTAGAGACCTCGCTTTGTGTTTTGTGCCTCAGAGCAACAAATGCTATTGGCAAGAGGGGGAAAAGTGGGGGTGTATCATTGACCTGATGCATTTGGGATAATTCTTTTCTCTAATCATCCCCTTGGGGATGATTCCAAGGAAATAAGGCTTTGTGTCCTTGATAACAGAGGGAACCTACTTAGGGTAGCCCTGTTATCTCTCAAAATGTTTGCAGCTTCAGATTGTGTAGCAAGAGGGGAGCAAATAAAAGTGTGAGGAAAGAATCATGAGGGTACATTTAGTATTTGGAAGCTGACATGTTTTCATATATACCAAATTGCCTGGTTCTTTTAACAGCCCTGCAAGTTAGGTGAGCAGTTACTATTAGCCCATTTTACAGGTGAGAAAGGTCAGACTGAAGGAGGACAGCCCACTTTGATTTGCATCACAGCTCCACCCAACTAACTCTTAAGCCCCAGGCTGGTTTCTCCATCTCTCTGTGTCTATGTGACCTCACCTGTGAGACAGGGGGGAAACAACAGTTGCTACTTCTTGAGTTGCTGTTAGGTTTAACAAGTTAATGTATGTCAAAGTGCTGAAGGGTCATCTGTGACACAGAAAAGTGTTCAATATATGTCGGCTATTGTGATGACTATGAGAAAAAGTATAAAGTTGAAAATTTGGGGACCCAAGAAGCTTAGGGCTGAAAAATGTCCATGGGAACGAGACTTGGGCTTGCTGTCATCATAGCACAGAGAAAACAAAACCAAAATGCATTTATGTATATAGCTGTTCAATACCTGACTCATCTATATCACACAGTTTATCCTGGAAGGTCCTCACAAAGAGATGACACAAGTCCTCACAGTTACCAGGAAGACTGTAACTAAATCTGGCAGCCGGTTATGGAAAAGTTGTGTTCCCCTCTTGTTTTACAAAAGAATACTCAAAATGTATGGGATTAAAAAAAAAGATAGTTTGATTCCTTCTAATCCATTGGCTAAAGTAAAAATTTTTTGTGCCAGGTATCATGCCATCTGTGGTATACACATTTTCTTACCTGCTTCTCATAAATAGTGTGACATACTATTCCAGTTTGTGCAGGCCTGAGGAGTTACCGAAATGCTGGACTTTTCAGTGCAAAAACTGGGAGAAGCCTAGGCAAGCAGGGACAGCTGGTCACCCTACGTAAGACAGGGACTCTGTGCATCCCATTTTGCAGGTGAAAGAACTGAAGCTTAAGGCATCCCAAGGTCACACAGCTAGCCAGTCTAGTTGGGATTTTTAAACCTATGCTTTTAAACCATTATAAGACACCAGCGAGAAAGAGCTTCTTCCTGTGAGGCAGTGCTGTAGCACACCAGCAAATGAGTGAAGCTGGCTGTTGCTCTCCTTGATAGAAAGGGCCTAATATCCTCCTAGACTGTGTTTCTCTGCTATGCATGTTGCTCTTTTTCTTTCTATTGCTGTTAAGATTTCCAAGTGATCTGGGGGCACAATCTGAAATGTTAGTGAGCAGACAGACTTTTGTTTTTTAACCCGTGTCATTCTGTCTCTGAGGAAAAGAAGAGTGGCATTAGCATTGCCAACTTCAAGAGAATCAAAACTTGATTCCCTAAGAGGAAAAACATATACATACAATAGAATTCATCTATCTCCCCTTCCAGGGAGATCTTAGCCAGCAGTGACTTTCTGTGCATTATAATTTCAAGGCCACCGGTAACTCTCAAGAGGCATTATCTTAGCTCCCACACACTTTCCAAGTCCATTTCAAGGCTACATATCACCAACTATGCTCCTCTGTAAAACCGCCTCACACAGTGGGAACCATGGGTTTGTGGGAACCAAGAGTCATCATCTCAAGTTATAAGGCGGCCCAGAAAGAAAGGTTCCACATTGAAAAAGGATTTTCCAATTTCCCAAATAATGGTCCATGAATGGATGTACATACGTAAGAGCTTAAGTGCATTTCAAAAGAAACCAGTGATCATAGCTGCAAGATGAATACTGCATAAATTTAAAGGCTACTTGGGGACACTCTAAAATTCCAAGGCAAAACTGACTTTCTTGACTTGATAGAGGAATAGGGCCAACAGGGAAATTAGGCTGATTCTGTTTTTCATGAGTCATTTTGTCTGTGGACATGCCTCACAAATTAAAGCACACATTTAAAAAAAATCCCTAGGTGTGAGATGATTAAAGTTTCAAATCTGGTCAATTGAAAAATCACAAAAGTGTTGGATAAAAGCCATGCTGTTTTGAGGATTTTATTTTTCTTTTAAAATCCCAGGAGTTGCTGAGCTTATAAAAATCCTTGATTTCAATAAAAAAAAAATGAGGGCTTTTGGAGAGAGTCATTCTCTTTGATATCAGATGTATTTTAGTCTATAATTTTCCACCCTGGCTTATGTGAATGTCTAGGCTTGATTCCATCAACTCATTTAATCTCTGATTTCATTTCTTTTTTTTTTAAACCATGTTTTCTGTTTATCTTTGTCCAAATTGAGTGAAATCTGTGCTTTCTAGTTCTTCTAACAATCCTAGCTTTCAAAATTTCGTATCAGCATGCCTGTGTGGCATAGGAAATCTATGCTTGTCTTGACAGACTGGAAACTGCATATTCATAGTGAGAAAATTGAGTTACTACCGTCAAAGACACCCACTTACCAAACTGTAATTGAAAAGTAGAACATCCCGTTAATTTACTGCAAGTAAGTGAGGGGGGAGGGGGAAGGGAAGTTAATACAAACAAATGCCAAGCTACAAGTCTCAAAATTCATGGGGAAAGCTCTCTCCTAAACGTTTAATTTTCATATACAAGCTAGTTACTGAATTGGAGAAAAGTTAGCATTCAACACAAGATCATCTGAAACCAACCAAATCCAGAAACTTGAACTGAATTCATTTATTGTTACATACCTCTACTTCTCAAAGCTGAAAAGACTAATTGTATTTCAGGAAAAGTTTGTGGCCATTTGGTCACAGAGGCTGAACATTTTAATATCACATACCCTCCAAACCAACATACAGATGAGAACGCTGAGGATCATTTTTTGTTACTACTAAAGATCCTTGTATTTTTCACAATTTGGTCATGAGTTTATAAAGACATATTTCACTTTATTGTATCCCATCATTACACCAAAGAGATGTCCAACATCCAATAAACAAAAATAATTTTATGGTCACAAGCATTTGCTTCCCAAAAATACTTGCAAAATTCTGTTCGTCGATTTCTCAATACATATTTAGGATCTGTCCTATCTCAAATCCTTAACACTTAGAAAACCAAGGCCAAAAAAAGGATGAATTCTCTACCCCCAGACATCTACACATACATATACACACACACACATACACATCCACCCACCCACCCACCCACAAAGCAACAGCTTTTCCAAATGAGTACACTACTGAAGAAAACAAAGTACAGTCTACCAAAAATCATGAAACAGACTCACTTAAGTTCACTGCTCACAGGGAATAAAGTTTTAAAAAATAACCCGAAAGTTCAGATTAAAGGCAATACTTCTTATTCATTTGTTTTTATTTCTAATTCCTCATCAGTTATATAACTTTGGTCTTTTTAAAAAGAATTTATTTGTAAATAAGAGTAATGAGTTGGCAGTTGAATTTGGGTCTGACCATTTTACCTGAGCAATGAAAAAACAAATGCCACAGAGGCCTGTAAAACTGTTTAACTCTCCGTTGGCAATTCTCTTGTGTCCCCCTGAGATTGTCTAATTACAGAGCAATGCTAGAAGTATTCTTCATTTGTAGATTAATTAGTTGATGCCTAAGCAGCTCTCTGAACATAAAAGGCAACATGTAAATCTAAGTATAATTATTCATCCTCAAGCTAATGATCATTTAATTAGTGTTTTCTGCTAGTTTAACGGCCCATAAAGAAAAAGGCAATTTGGGGAAGGGGCTTCTACCGTTGAGATAAGCGAGGTTTAGTCCTGTAGATCTAATTAGAGTGAAAAATAATGTTTAATGTTCAAAGAAAAAGATTTTAAAACTGGAAATAAATTGGAAATTGACTCTCTCCTATCCTGATGCCTAAAAGCCCTAAGGGAACTGGAAATGAAGCACAGCTTTTGTCATCATTTGCATTTTTCCTGAATTAGGAATCACGGTTTGAATGGGGCTAATCTGATGTTTTGTGGCAAGTGTAAAGGCCTACCTGAGATGAAGTTTATAGAGCAGAAAAGATGCTAACTCTGGGGTGTCCGTACATGTTATGAAGGCGCTTCTGTCCTCTTTGTAAAATAGGATACGAGTTTCCTAAATAGGAAATCATAGTCAAGTTAAAAGCCATCAGATAAAGCTAAGCGTTTTGCAAAGTCCCGGCATGGTTTTTTAAGTTAGTTGTCTCTATATTTCCCCTACTAGATTATACAGCCAAAGCCGTACATTATCTTTCTCTTCCTATTTCCAGCCTTATCCAGCCAATATTAAGTATTCATTGAGTCAGTCGATGAACAGTAACGAGAAATAGACGTATACAACTCAGAGGAGCAAGTATGCCCCTGGGCGCATAAAGTATTCCTCTGAACTTAAAAAAAATACTACGTCAAAGATGTGAAAAAGCTCTGTCACATGTTCTCCATTCACAAGTCCCTGTTCTGATGCTGGGTCGTTAAGACAAACATCATTACACAGAGACTGTCCAGACAACATTCTCAAGCAGCCCGGCACTAGAAGCAGCTGCCCTGGTTTATCTAATCAATGTCCGCATCGGGTGACTTCTTTCAGCCACCGTTTTCTCAGCTATGCAATGGGGCAGTTGTCACAGTTAAATGGAATGATCGTAAATCATACAGAATTAAATTATTCAATAAATGTCAGCCATAGCCACATCAGCTGTTTTCTTTTTATAGGAACTTTGATTTAAGAAAGAAAAAAAAATTTTTAACTTTGCTGAAAATAAGTGTAGCTTTACCCTCCACGGACAAGAATTTTCTTTGCCAACTGATAATGCAAGTGGCATAAAGGCAATATTAGAGATCATAATACCGGTATCACGTGATCATAAGAGGCACGCCTGACACCTAAGCATCAGGGAATGCTGTAAAAATGAAACATTCAAAAAGAAGTTTAAAAAAGAAAAAGGCAAAAGCAATTATGAAGTTATGTCACAGCAGCTTTTTATCAAAAGGAGAAAAATACAAAGACTGCAAAGAATTTAACAGTGAAGTAAACTACAGGGTCATTGCGAATATAATAATAATGTTATTTGAAGTTTTACTTAAAAAAAAAGAGGCACGTAAATAATAAGTGGGAGTTGAGAATCTTAAAGTACCCAAAAGTCTACCTTGTGTTTCAGAAGGATGTTTCTCATCTTCCTTTTAAACTCATGAAGAAATTTCTAAATTTAATTTCCTCAAAAATCTCCACATCTACACCAGACACTATAGAAGAGTCAAGCATTCCTCACTCAATAAGCTGTAATACAGCAGCATTTGACCAGGTTACAAAACATGCTTCTCAAGAAACTCTGTTGGAAAGGTCCTTGCAAAGGTTGGGCACCCAGAATCTATACTGCCATTGGACCCACAGGTAAGGCATAGGATTCACAAAACACTTTCTCCTGGGACTTTTGTGATAAGGGGTGTTGCGTGGTTTAGCCTGCAACGCCTCTTATTTCTTGACCACTATTATCACCAACTTCTACAGTGTATAAAAGATCTTGGTCTCTGCTCCTGAAATCATATGGGAGAACAGCAGAAAATATATTTCAATCTGAGTAAAATACCAGTTTTTAGAAAGCCTGAATCTGTTTAGAACAAGGCTGGAGAAAACAGATATTGGTAATGCCAATAACTTGAAATGTACACCCAGAAAAAAGCCTCCACTTGATAAATAATATATTCAATGAATCTTAAAAGTGTTGTCTAAAATTTTTCCTTGGCTCCTGTTCTGAATATAAATGCTTTCTGTATTTGCTCAAGACGATGAGGATTAAACAAATAGTAATAATCCAAAAACAGAACAAAATTTTCATCACTGATGATTTCATGGAAACATGAAAATAATGTACAGCAAACAAACAAACCTAAACAAGAGGCACTGAGATTCTGCGTCATCAACTTTAAAGATTAATTGGTGAAACCAGATTAAAACATGGGAGTGCCCGTTTATAGAAATGACAGGCATCGTGAAATGCAAGAGAGTCCCCTTTTAACATAGGAAGCCCAGGGAAACAGAGTGAAAACCTGAGGAGATCGCACTCAAATAATTAAAGTACAAATGTATTTCGCCGAAGACTCTGATTCCAGACAGCTGCCCTCACTGTCCTTCTCCCGCTTTTATTGGAGTCTCCAAAACCATTTTGCTTTGGGGGAGAAAGTAGATTTTTAGTAGAGTGGGAAAAATGCCAAACATCCATGGCAACTTAGAATTTTTCCACTTTCTTTACATGTTCAATTGAGACCTTCATAAAATTATAAATGAAAGGACACATTATGAGCACTTTCTTTGAAGGGGAAGAAAAAAAAAGGGGGTCTTGCCTGGAAGTAAAATTTTGGAGTCTATATCCTTCTTCTCTGGAGAACACTTGGGAGATTTTTCTGCCAACAGCAGGGCCCCTAAAAGAGCTTGTCTTTGCCTTCAGAATTCAAAAAGGTAGAACCACCAATTGTTCCCCTGACTGTGGGTGAGACGGTGAGCACCAGGAGGGGACTGGAAAGTTCTGGGCTCCGTGTTGGTGTGTCTCAGGGGCTGAGGTCAGTGTGTCTTGGCGTCTGCTTTCCAGCTCCCCCCCTCTTCCCTCTTCCCTTCTTCCCTCCCCCCTCACCAGGGATTCACTCCTGTTTACTTTGGGGAGACTGCAACTTCTGTTTCTTAACATTTAAAAGAAGTTTAAAAGCTTATAAAAAGGCTCTTAAGATTTCTTGGACACTGAATGCCTCTTACAGAACAATATTTTGATGAGTTAAGTGTAAATGAATCAGAAACCTACGTATTAAATTTCTCTTGACATACACATCAGTTTAAAAAATTAATGGAAAAAGTGCCCGGGGCTCAAAGTGTTTTGGGGTTTTCTCAAACCCAAAATGCTTGAACGTGCAGAGTGGAATTCCATTTGAGTCAGCCAGGTTTGCTGAACACCTCCCCCACACCCCAAAACCCCTAGTTATAGTGGAGGGAGTAGCATTTCCGGACAGTGACCGACTGGCTAGGGACATGTCACATTCCCGGTCATTATGCCTGGGACGCAGCAGAAGCCAAAGCCTGGGCTGATGCTGTGGAGATGCCCAGCCTCTGTTCACTGAAGGCTGACCCTAAATGCTGTTTTTTGTTGTTTTTTTTTTTAAGATGAAGGAAACTAAATAAACAATCACCCAAGATCATAAATCACTGACAAAGATATTTAGATTTGAAACTAGCCTCGAAAACAGAATGTGCCATGATTTGTCCCTCAAAGATTAACTCTGCTCTGGGTCCTATAATTGTGGAGCCCATGACTTCTGATGATAAATGAATGGCACAAGGGTCAAAACTTGAGAACCAGTATAGTTTTGGTGGGTTTTTGTTTGTTTGGGTTTAATACTTATTGTGGGTCCAAGAAAATACCCATGGAAACACAACCAACCCAAAATCCTGAAAACCCAGACTTGATCTCTAAAATCATCACTCTTCCGATTTTTTTTTTTTTTAGTTTTCCGTTTCTTTTGCTTTTGTTCTGTGAGCGGATGAGCAGCTGACTCGGAAGACTGAGCCAGGTAAATAAGATTTCACTGCTGTCCTTCTGCGATCTGATCATCTGGGGATGCGTGTCATAGATATTAGAACTGGGAGCGGTTGCTAACTTCCTGTGTGTCCAGCAGACCACAAACACAGTTGTGCTGCCAAGGAAGCAGGAGGCCTGCCTTAGGCATCTTTATCCCCAGCACTAACCTCAGGGGCCAACAGGGAGGGATCATGGCTTTGAGCTCACGCCTGACAGATCCTCAAGCTAATACTCCTTTGGCTAAAGCACGGGAAAGCTTTCTTGTGAACCACGATGAGCTGTTATTTTCAAAATTCACACCCTCCAACTCCATCAGATTACACAATCCCCAGGATTCTCGAGGAGGCCTGTGATAATCTCTAGCTCAGGAAGCCTGGAGATGCAGGGGAGTTTTCTTAGGACAGATCTGTGTCTTGCTCTTCCTTTCTCAAAGAAGCACGTTCTCAAAAGCCTCAAGGGCATTGAGGGAAGGGGAGGTGATCTTAAGAGAAATACACCTTTTAAATACAATGTTTAGCCTTATTCCACCATGAGCATGTGCTGTACCCATGTTTGTTGAATGAATAAGTGAGTGACTGAGCGCAGACCACAGCCCTTTCACAGGAACGTTGCAAGGATGATGACAAGTTAACAGATGGTCAGAGACAAGCATAATACGGATTCCCTCCACCTCAAACAGCCGTCCCCTCACCACAAGCCCCTCCTCCACACGAGAGATGACTACCGGGGTTTCGTTCCAGCTAAGAGGAAACGCTACCACCATCAAAGACCATTAACAATAGAACCTGGGTAATAAAAAAAAAGTCTAACCTTTTAGCACTTCCGACCTGAGTTTCTAGAGGAAAACTGTTGGACAACACCTCAATTCAAGATGGCGAGGTGTGAGGAGCGTGCGGAGAAGCTGCGCAGGGAACTGAGCTCTGGAGCCTCGAGCAGCGCAGCTGCGCCTACCCCGCGAGAACTCTGCCCCTTCCAACGAGAACTCCTGCCTTTCCCGCGAGAACTCTGCCCCTTCCCGCGAGAACTCTGCCCCTTCCCACGAGAAGTCTGCCCCTTCATGCAAGAACACCGCCTCTTCTGTCGAGATTTGCATCCCTCTCTCCAGGGTCAGGAACCTTATAAAGCAGCCCTACCCCGCTGAGCCTGTCCAGAGACCCTGAGCGTAAGAGCATGAGCTTCCATCTCTCCATCCTTACAACAGAGACTAAAGCTTTCCTTTGCTTCTGGCTCCAAGGACACCGGGCAGGAGGACGCTTGTTAACGGCCTGACTCAGAAGGGTAGGTAACAAGGCTATCTAGCATTGAATCACTCCCAAAAAGAGCAAACTAAAAATTCCTTTGTTTTTTTCTGTACACCTTTCTGGGGGCACCAGCTCTTAAAAGCTCCTAACCCTTATTGCAGGAAATATAAGAAAGAGGGAAAGCAACAGTAGTAACAGCTTTATGGGAACCGGAAAAACCCGGGAAAATACGGAGGTGCTAGGACAACAGATAAAAAGCTGTATTTCCTCTCAGTGCGATCTGGGGGCTGGGGAAATATGATCATTAAGGAATAGAACAGATATCAGAAATGAGTAATTCCAACACCTTCTGTCACCCTCCTTTCCCAGGCAAACCTCAAGAACGTGCAGATATGGGTAGGAGTTCCTACCACAAAGGGATCTCTTTCCATCCTGAGGAATTGAGAGCAAATAAGGTCCCCCCTGGCAGAGTTTCTCTCGTTCCACCTGAAAATTCATTGTCTGCCTTACAAGGTTGGCTCTGGTAAACGAAGGGGCTAGAAACAAAAAGCAAGCAGTCTCTGGTGTTACCAACCGTCCGATGATGACGTGCAAATTTGGAGGCTTCTCCTTTATCCAGAGAAAAGCTTTAATGCTGACTCCTGGAATTTTCTCCCAAGCCTTTACCTTCTGTGTTCAGGGAGTGAAACTCATGTTAATGCTGGTTAAGACCCACCTCTCCCTTACGGGAAGTCTATGCAGGTGGAAAGCTAACCGAATAAAACAAAAGTTACGTTTCAAGACCTAGAAGATAACCCTGCTGGAGATCGCCAGCCTCTCCCAGTCGTTCAGCCCTCCTCTGTACCAACTGTAGCAGACGGAGCCGGATTGTATTTTGATTTGCATGTTTGCGTGGAGGAAGAGCCACAGAAATGAGCTTTAAAAACTCAGCTGGTGTTGGAAATCTTTGGGGCTTGGACTGCCCCCTTCCCGCCGCCACCTCCTCCATCCCTCCCAGTCCAGGTCCTGAGGTGAGGTTGCACAGACTTGATCCTTTTCCCTTTGATACGGAACCTGTGCCTACGCCAGGCTCTCAGTGCTAAAGAAAACAGGCAGCCCTTTCGCATCGGATTTGCCTCCTGCTCTGGTTGCTGTTATTCTGTAACAGCCGCTGTCGCAATATTGCTGCCTTCAGAGTCGATGTCACCGGGGGCGAATGGCAGGGGTCCTTTCTTCTTTGGGTTTGATACATCCTTCCTTCCGCTGCTCCTTGCAATCAACCACTAGGAGAAGGAGGGAAGCAGGCAGGAGGGAGAGCGGGAGACTTCCGGAAATCTCATTCCCCCCTGGCCTGCACGGTTTGCCCGATAATGACCCCGGAGGCTTCCACCTGCCCCCGCGAAGGGATTGGTTACTCTCCCGCAGCCCTCCCAGGCATCGCCCCCTTGCTCACTTCCTCCTCTTCCTGCCCCCAATCTCTACCCCTCCAGCCTCCTGTGGCTTCACAGCCGAGTGCCCCATCTCAGGAAGCCCGAGATGGAGCTCTGTTAACAGTGAGCCTTCCATGCTTCACTCTACCTTACCCTCATCTCCAAACGCACAGACTCGAGCAACTGCTTTCCTGGAATCATTTGTGATTCTCGAAGTATGAGGGGTCAGGGTGGTTTTAAAGAGAGCAGGTAGCTTATTCTTCTTTCTGTTTATAAATAATATCCAGGTGTGCTGGGGGAAGGGGCTTCTTGATGTGCATTTTAAAACTAATTTAGAATTTGTTTTTTAATATACAGTCTCTCTATCTTGCCTTGGAGTCAAACAATATAAACTTTAAACTTGGGATTTCTGCAGTTTTTGAATACAGCGCTGGGGGACACCCCCTCCGGGGACCCACCCACTCTCTGACTCCCCCCACTCACCAGTTTTGCCAGCATTTGGTAATATGGCTTGTTTCCTCTTTGCCAATCCCTGCAGACTGAAAGCAAACGCTGGTGATCATTCTCGCTTCTCAGCTGACGTGCACACCTCTACCTGCAGCCTGTGGCTGGTGAGAGACACACCCCAAGCAAAAGCACTGGTAGGTAGAAAAAAAATTGTTTCTTCCCTTCTGCTGCTTTTATTGGAAGAATTATTATGGCTGGGAGGCAGGTACACACCTGTGGCAGTTGGGGTCTTTCATTAAGAATACATGCTTCCGATGCTTATTTTTGTGGAATCAAACCCCTTGTGGCCAATTAATTTCAGTCTATTTCAGGGTCACAGATCATACCTCTAATCCTGGCCAGTTGTCTCGCGAGTATGTGTCGTAACGGGCCTGGGGCAAAAACATAGATGGCCCAGCATAACCACTACTTCTGTTGGAGAAAATCAACTCAAAGGGCATGTCCCACATAGAGAGACCACAGTTAGAGGCAGGCATAATTGAAGTCACTAAATTAGCATGCGTCTCTCAGCCGGGGCCTAATATAAGCCAGACCTCATTGAATGCCAGGCCACGAGTACATCACAACTGCAATTAAAAAGAAAAGAGAAAAATCACCCTTGCGTCCCAAACGTTTATTTTTAACGTGACAGGTAGTAATAATACGAGATCCTAAGGCATCTGCAATAAGCAAGAAAGGTAATTTGGGTTAATCACCGTTGAAAGACCAAAGGACTTTAAGTATGTCTCCAGGGCCAAGCTCTTTGCAATGCTCCCATTTCTCTCTCTCACGTCAGCCACATCCATCGCACCTCTATTACTACATCTTGTTGCTACCTGAGATCTCCAGTCATGCAGGGTCCCACTGTATCTACTGCTTTACCTGGAGCCTCCTGCCGACATCCTCAACGTGGCCCACCTAAGCTGTCCAGTTCCCCCCAACAGGCCACAGTCCTTGGACCTTCTGCATTTGATCTTTTCCTTTCAGGTTCCGTTAATGCCCGTAAGGCCCTGCGATTCTAGACTATACACTAACCCTTAGTCCTTAAAGCTCACTTCTACCTGAAGGCAGAAACCAAGTCTAGAAATCCATAACAAATGTGCTTTTTCAGTGGTAGGGTTCTGAGTGATTTTTTTTTCCCCCTACAATGAATGTGTATTAATTTTGCATTCAAAAATCTTTTTCTTTTTTTGGTCCACTTTCAAAATCCAGTATACAAGCCCACCAAATTTTGCATCTCTTGATTTTTGAAACTCAATTTCTCAACCCCCCAACCCTGGAATTCACTAGTGCAATTTGTCTTTTGAGTTTGCCACTTGGGTTTTTTAAATTAAAGCGGGTATCAGAGACTCATTGTGTCTCTATGGATCAAATCATGGTACAGTGTTGCCAAGAATTTATCTGTATGGGTGAATGGGAGGTCTATTTTTTACAGTTTTTTGTTGTTGTTGTCGGGAGCTACTGCCTTGATAAAACTTAGGCCTTTTCCTGGCTAGGACCTGGTGACCCCTCCAGCCATATTACAGTGAAGTTTGAAAAACTTGGCCAAACAATGGGCCCTCCTGGAATTTTATGTTTTTTAAATTTTGGAATAAATAGGCTATTAGCAGGACTGTGGATAACTTTTGATCACACATAGAAACACATGGTAATAGGATTTTTTCTTTCTGTGTTAATATAATGATTTAATAAAGACATTTGGCACATAAGTAAGTCTCGTAGACCAAGCATTTTGAACAACAAGAGGATTAAGATCAGCCTATAGGGGATATTAGTAAAAGTGTCTTTTTCCTAGCTTTGGTAAAACATCTATCTGTTTGGAGATAAATTCATTATTCTTAACTAAAAACCCTCCTGAAATAGATGTGGTGAGAAATGTTCTGCCCCTGTTATGAGACTCTCCAAACAAGCTTAAAATTGCTTAGAAACAAAAGGCAGGAGGAAAAAGAAAGGATTGTGTCTCCAGATAATGAGGTTCTACCTTTGTGTTTTATCTGCAAAACAGCGTGGTTTGAAAAGTCTGGATCCCATTTCATTGGAACTGAACCTAAATGTAGTGCCTGGAATTCTCCCAAATGAATAAATTCTTTGCCGATAATTTTTAAGTGAAGAAAGATCAACAGGATAGGGGCATGAGGGAGGATTATAAACTGCAGGGTGTATGTGTGCGTTTCTGTGTGTGTATGTATGGACATGCGTGTGCGCACACAGGCGGTTGAAGTTGTGGGTAATAGAATATAAACGAAAGAACACAAACCCTCAGCAAATGTGCCCATCGATGTGGGAATCGAAAAAAACAAGATGGGCACGTGTGTCTTTGCATTTAGCGGGACAACTAGGGGAGTTGTAGACACAATTCTTTCTTTTTCTTTTCGATGTGCCATGCTGAATTCCATCTCTCTTTCTTGGAAAACTCCAGTGGATTTATTTCCTTTAAAAGAGTTCCTGCTGACTCTTTGCTCTTGTTAATTCCTGCTCAGTTTTCCTATCCCCATCCTAAGGACAGCAACATGACAAACCTCCCTTCCTTCCATCACCTTCTGATCTTCTTTCTCTGTTTCCATAGGCTGGTTTTTCTCTGCTGGATAGTGGCCAAAATGACGCCAGTTTATGGCAGTAAGAGAATACACAGTAGACCATTTCTGTCTTTAACTTTCCTCCATTTTGTGGGGTCTTGCTGAGCAGTCTGCAACTTCTATAAGGAAGGAGAGGACATGAAAGCTGTAGGATCATCACTTTCACTCTCAGGATCAAGGTTACCAAGGAGGCACTGAGTAATTTGTTTATATAAATCTCTCCACCAAGTCTTGAAAAGTCCTGCAATGAACACAATTCTTTTGGGGGACTTAGGTTCTCATTTAGCTTCTTTGTTTGAAAAATGAAGGAAAAAGAAAAGATCATTGAGTCTCCTTCTTCTTTGACCACTGGAAGAAAGGTAGAGAAAAAAGAAAAAAGAAGTTAAAGAGAGGACATACGTCTCTCCTCTTTCCTTCCCCTCTCCCCATCCGTGGGTAAAATCTAATAAAGATGATTAAATTACATGTCTTTTCCTCCCATTGAAATCCACTGCATACTATTCAAATATTAGAACTCAGGAAATCAGGCAGGACAAGGTCGCCCATGAAACCTTAGAAGGCAGCACAGGGGTCTGAGCTGGAGGTCTGCCTGGCTGGGCGGCTCTAATTAAGAAATCACCCTGCTGAGCAGAACTTAATCTAAATAAAATATAAAAAGGAATTCAGTGAAAACCATTACCTCCTCCCTACACACCTCAGGTCCAGAGCCTTCATCCATCCCCCTCGGCCCTAGAAACTCTCCCTCCCAGTCCTGGGGAGTTCTGTGTGCCCACGGTACCACCAAGTATAAAGACTCAGCTCTTGAAGAGGAAGCTGGGTCTTGTGCTGGCCTCTTGCTGTTTGGCCAGGCATTCTCAGGGCCAGAGGCAGATTTAGTCAATGTTGCTCTGGTTTGGAGGGGGATAGAGGACGAGATTTGATCAAGCATTGGTTAAAGACTTGTATATCTAGCCGACTCTTCCCGTTTTAACACAGTGAGCTGGGAACTCACAGCCTCTCTGTAGGGTGGCTGGGGTTTTCTTGCCTATCCGTCAGCTGCTTTTGATGGAGTGGTCCCTTGAGAGCCAAGACCAAGTCTGTTTCACTGAGTTGTGTTCAACGTCCTTGTCCTAGTTAGACCTTTAAAACTGTACTGAGTCAGCCTCAGGCCTCTTTTCCATCCAGGTCCTGGGGGATCCCTCTGACAGTGGGTGACATTCATTTAGCCTCATTTCCATCCACACTCCGTAGAAACCTAGGTTGTATTCTTGCTGTTGACTCCTGTAAGTGTATTATTCTCTTTCACACATCTGTGGCTTTGCACAGGCTGCCATATCTGCTCACAACAGTGATTCTTAAACTGTTAAGAACCCATTGGAAGACATAGACCCTCTCCCTAGGAGGGAAAAAAATGCACATATGCATATAAACACAGGTTTTGGCAAACAATTTCAGGGAGCACCTGAGCCCTCTAAGGAGTCCATGGTCACCAATTTACGGACCCTTGAAAGGTTGTCCTTTCTCTCTTTTCTCCACTGACAAGGATGCAAAGACTCTCTTCTTTGACCGTGCTTAAGTCCTAAGCCCTCTTTCTGACTAGGCCCTGTCCCTGGATTATTTAGTCTAGGTTTAGCAAGAATATTGCTGAATCTGTTTTGCAGAAATCCCCCACCCTTCATATCTGATCAAATTTCTCCTCTTGCACCCTGGATATCTTATCACCCTGACCAGCCTTCAGCAAAAATCCTGTCAAGTTGGTTTAGCCCGAATCCCGCTATTCTTGCTGTTTCATCTTAGTAATTTTCCACCAACCGACCCCACCTTGCTGCTGGGCTATAAATCTCCATCAGTCCTTATTGTGTTTGGACTTGAGCCCAATCTCTCGCTCCTACTACAAAACCTCATCATAGTAGTAGTCTCTCTTGAGTGAAGTCTTCCTTACCATCTTTAACAAGTGCCGTGAATAACTTTTCTTTAACACCTCCCATTCCAGGGAAACCCCTACTTACCCTCAAGGGGACCTCCACAAAGCCTTCGCTGACCAACCCAGAAATAGTAATGAACAGAAGTCCCACTTCTGTGCTCCCCGTTACCCTTGTCTGCGAGTCTAGTAGGTCACATATCACAATGTGGTGATTACTTGTTTGCATGTCACTCTTCCACTAGACCAGGAGTGGGCAAATTTTCTCTGAGAGGTCCAGATAGTAAATATTTTAGGCTCTGTGGGCTGTACGTTCTCTGTAGCATCTACTCAACATTGCAGTTGCAGTAGAACCAGCCATAGACAAATGTAAATCAATGGCCATGGCTGTGTTCTAATAAAACTTTATAAAGCACTGCAATTTCTATTCTGTATCATTTTTGTGCATCACAAAATAGTCTCCTCCTTTGCTTTTTCAAACATTAAAAAATGTAGAAAAGACCACCCTTATCTCATGAGCCACACAAAAACAGAGGAGGGAAAGGACAGACAACACCCAGGACATAGTTCGCTGACCCCTAGTCTAGACCGAGGAGAGACCCTCAAAGGTAAATCTCGTTCATTTTTGAGTTTCATTATCTAGTTCCTCAGAAGTAATTTATCTTTGAGTTTCACTAGCTAGCATTATCTGATGCATAAAATGAGTGAATAAGCAGCTAAATGACCAGTGCTCTGCAAAAAATTTCCTTGAGACAGATACTGAATAGAACAAGTAAATGTGACTTGTGGGACACTGTTGAGGGCCTATGTTTCTTCATGTTTGGGGACATACTGTCTCAGCTGTTAGCTACCAAAGCTGCAGTCGCTGTTCTGTAAGCCTGGGATTATCCCACAAACCACTAGGTAGATGCTAGAAACTTTCTAGAGCAGTCCAGTATCAGACTGGCCAGAAAATACCTCTTTTTAAAGATAAGATTTCTTATACCACTCCCTGTTTTGACAGAATCACGGCTTCTTTGAGCCTCTCTTTTTAACAATCCCTTAGCCTTTATGAGGTTGGCAGCTTCTGACTTGGCTCCCAGTGATCCCCCTTCCTGGTAGTCGAGCCTATGTGTCATCCTCTCTTCTTGAGAGCGGCCTGGACCTAATGACTCATTTTTAATGAATTGAATGCACAAAAGTGATGAGGTGTCACTTCCAAAAGTGGTTTATACAAGATGGTATAAACCATCTGCTTTTGTCAGCAGACTCCCTATTGCCTTCTCAGCTTGCACACTTCGATGGCAATCTGCCATGTTGGAAAGGCTCATATGGAACTGAGGCTGGCCTTCAGCCAACAGCTGGTAAGAAACTGAGAGCCTCAGTCCAACAACCATCAAGGAACTGAGTCCTTCCAATGACCACATGGATGAGCTAAGAAGAGAATCTTTCTCTAGTTGAGGTTTCAGATAAGACCACAGACTCTAGACCAACACTCTGATAGCAGTTGTGCCAGAAAACTTAAAGCAGAGGACCCAGAGAAGTCATGCCCATGTTCCTGACTTACAGAAACTCTGCAGTGATAGATGTGGTATTAGCTTAAGCCACTAAATTTGGTGGGTAATTTGTTATGCAGCGATGGATAACTAATACATATAATTACAATTGGATATATATTAACTTATCTTACCCAACAAAATGTTGAATTCCTCCAGGGCAAGAGTTGGTTACATCATACTCATCTTGCCCCATAATACATGTTTAACAAATGTTTGTTAAATTAACTTGTATTTTGAGCTTCACTGAGTTCAGTTAATTTAAATAACAATAATATTTAAATAAGCACCAGTGGTAGGAAGCTGACAGCTGGTTAGGGCTGAAAGTTTTTGAAACTTGTGAGAGGGAAAAATATTATTCAGATTTATAACCTACTGTGCCCAGCTTATGTTTCATAGACTTTGGGGGTGGGGGGCATCATTCATTTTCAAAAGACTTCAAAGTTGGTGCCTTCTAACCGCAGTAAAGAGATACTTGCCTTTCTTGACCCAGACACACCAACCTTCCCATTGGATAGTCAGTCTAATTGTTTAGGCAATTCTCCTCCCTTCTCTTGCTTCACATTTCACATGGTCAATGAGAAATACTGCAAGGAGAGAGAAAAAATTGGAAAGAGAACTTTGAAAAAGTTGAAAAATAATGGAGAAGAGGAAAGAAAAAAGCAGAGGAAAGAGAAGTGGTCAGAACCCTCAAGCCAGATGCAGAGAAATGATTTGAAGGAAGATGTCTGATTTTCCCAACTTTAGTCATAAATATTTTGACAAGGAATTTGGCATTTATCAAGAAGGAAAACAAGAAAAAACAAAGTTGTCTTCCAGAGGGCCCAACAATGTTGGAATTCAGTGATCTAATTCTTTATAAGGTTGTGGTGAGAGATTGCCTCTCTTGTCTGAGTCTCCTGGCATTGGGACCTCTATTTCCTCAACAGCACGTGCCACGCCACTGTCAGAGATCAGGACTAAAAACAGAGGATGCGAGGGAAAGTCTGGATACTATGCTTAGGAAACAAAATTTTAAATCACAGTAGATTCTTATTCTTTATCTTACTGGTTGCTTATCTTAGCAGTTAAGGCAACTTTTCATTACTTTTGTAGACATTATATAATATCTTCTTCCCCTGCCCCAGCCACCAGCTGTTAGCCAGTCTCATCTCAGAATGGGATGGGGGTTGGATCAGCCTCAGCTGACATTTGAGAGAGCCAATTCCCAGCGACTGAAGAAATCTAAATTTTCTGCAATTACTATAGAGTCAAATCGACCTCAAGAAAAATCTATTTCTCATTCTCTATGAGACATAAGCATGATTCATGGGAAGGTAAGCTGGCACAAACTTTCTGTAGGATAACATGTCTCTAATTTTTAGCCTTTTTGGTAATAAATAAGACAGAGATTAAAAAAAAAGCAGTGACTATTAACCATCAAAATGATCTCATCCACTTTTGCTCTAGAAATATCTTAACATTTATTAATACTTAATAATATTTAATACTTACCTGTGCCTCCCATGGCATCAGAACTCAGTAAGTGGTGTTTAAATCTTAATATAGGCAATGTGATTGGTTAAAAAAAAAACCAGATAAATAAAGCTCTGGGTTTGCCCTAAAAAAAAGAAAGAGAAGGAAATCTTAAAAGAGTTAAAGGTCAAAACAATTTGTTAGAATTTTTTAGTTACATTAAGCTTAAATGTTCTCATTTAAGAAAGTGAGGACAATAATTGTATGTATCTCATAGGGTTATTTTGAAGGTTAGGTATGCGTGTTAAAGCCTCATTCTGCAGCAAGGCTGATCAGCTTTAAACACTATTGACATTTCAAGTGGGATAAATTTTTATTGTGGAGGCCTGTCCTACGTACTGTAGGATGTTTACCTGTATCCTAGCTTCTACCCACTTAATCCCAGTAGCCCCCCCATCAGCCACATGTCAACCCCCCGCCCCCCCGCCCCAACCACTATCACAATCACAAATATCTCCAAATATTTACAAATGTCCCCAGGGGAGCAAATTCACCCCTGGTTGAGAACCACTCTTCTAGGGCTTAGCAGATAGTCATTGTTCTATAAATATTAGGTGTTATTTTTATTATCATTAAAGTTATTACTAACAGCAACATCACCCTGCTATGATGACAGTTCCTTTCTCTCACTGAATTGTTAAAATAGTGCTGCATTTCTGCATCCTTTCAATAGAAAGAGCTAGAAAGGAAAAAAAAGGCAAGGTCATTCATTTGATAGCAATCCAATAGGAAACCTACTATCTCCTATGATGTCTCCTTTCATGGAAGGACAAAGGGCTGCCATTCGGTTCAGCTCTAGGAATTGGGTACCTTTCACAGGCTCACAGTTCATGAGATGCTACAAATTCCTCCACTGGCATAAATTTTCAAGCTGTAGGCACTCCTGGTTTGGTTGACTCTTGAATCCACTTGTGGAGATTTTCAAGAGTACTGCTACCTGAGAAAGAAAGGAAAGAGATGTTCAGAAGGACTCTTCCACAAGACTTAGTCCCTCTGCTATTTTTAGTGGTTTTGTGCTTATTTGGGTTTACAAGTACGGGGTTTTTGTTTTTTGGAGTTTTTTTGCCCAAATTGTTCATGCATATTCTAACAGTGTTTGCTTTAGCTGTTTTGATACCAGGCTGTTTTGAAGGTACTAATGTTTTTCATGGCATGTCTTGTGTTCAGTGTGCAGATGGAGTTGGTGACTGAATACAGTGCCGTATTCCTCAAAGTCTTTAACCAAATAATTGCTACTAGCAGAGAAAACTGAAAAGAGTTCTGGGGATCTGGGAGTGGCCAGCTGAAAATACAAAATTCCTCCACACCTCTCGGTTTTATCTTCGAATGCATGCACATTTTACTTTCTGAGCTAAAATATTTTTTCTTTTGTTTCAAAATGTGGAAATGAGCTCTCCATGTTGGGCCCTGTGCATCTGGTGGCTTTTCCTGCTCCCCTTTTGAAAGCTTGCACCATGCACTTGCAAAGGCAAGATCGCAGCCTTGAAACCTGATAGACCGAAACAAAATTTTGTTTTAATAATAAAAAAAAATCAGTGTCAGCCTAGCAAGCACTTAGAGCCCACATTTATCCTTTCTTCTTCTTCTTACTTATTTATTTTACTGGAGGTACTGGGAATTGAACCCAGGACCTTGTGCATGCTAAGCATATGCTCTACCACTATCCCTTCTTTGCCACAAAGCCTGACTCTTCCTGGCGTGTTGAGTGTTTTTCTGTCCCCACTCCCAGCACCCACCACTATGCCAACTTCCTTACACCCCTTGTATACTCTGCTCAAACCTGGAGGTCCCCCCCTACACCTTCCTAGAGGCCTGTCTCTCTGTGACTCAAGTTCTTCAAAAGCTGTCTTGCATTCAAACTACCTATGAGAGTTTCCCTGATGAATTCCACCCCATGACAGTCACCCTTGCTGCACATTAGACATATCTTGTCAACATAAAGAAATGCTTTAAAAAAAATTCACTTTAGAGTCAAACTTTCTTCCCTCTTACTCTTAATTTTTTAATCTAAGGATGGCTAGGAAAAAGTGATGTCTGTCTGAATTTGCATTTCACAAATCACATATTTCCTAGTAAATAACAGACTCCATACTTACAGTTTGCAATAAAAATATAAGCAGGAGCTACTTCTCATTTCTCCTAATGGGCTAATTACAATTTTCTCGAGGGCAGGAAACCTCTCTGTTTTCCGTTCTGTTTTCCTCTTGTGTGTTTTAACTCAAAGGTTTGGACATTTAAGACCTTCAAAGAATATATGCTGAATGAACCTAAGAGTGAATGAGTGATTGCGTTTTTAAATTAATTTCTTTGAGCTTTAGTTGATCTGCATATTTTGGCAAAAGCACACATTAAGACACCTTATCAGTATCAGGTTTGTACAGTCTGCTTGTCGCCTTGTAATTGGTGGCTAGTTCTGGGCATGGTCATCGAGTCTCCCTTGTTGACACTTGACTTCATCCATGTCCTTCAAAGCCCCAAGCATAGAGATTTGCCTGTAGTAGTTACGTTAGAAACGTTACGGGATGAATGTCATTTACAGCATAATACAAAGAGCGTAGGCAAAATAATTTGGAGAAAAGATAAGCAGTTAAAGTAAATAACAGCCAACTTGTCCCCAGAGTATGTATAAGGGTAGATTCCATGTTCATAGAGGGAGGGAAAACCGTCTGATGAAGAATGATGGGCAAGTCTGGGGACTAAGATACCAGGATCGAGACTTTCTCTGTAAATACTGTCATCTCTTCCTACTTTCCACGGGGCTGGATTGATGTCTTCAGGAGATAGAACTGGAGTATATTTTTTCTAGATATTTGTGCTTCATTAACACCTGTCTTCCAGGCAAGGGGAAGGTCTGCCTTTTCTGAGGAGGTTGTGGTCTTCTGAGTTGTCAAGAGCTTAATTAAAAATCATACCTTGAATTTGATGCAACCGTTATGGAAGACAGTGTGGAGAGTCCTCAAAAAACTAAAACAGAGACTTACCCTATGATCTAGCAATCCCATTCCTGGGCATGTATCCAGAGGAAACTCTAATTCAAAAAGATACACATACCCAGATGTTCATAGCAGCACTATATACAATAGCCAAGACATGGAAGCAACCTAAATGTCCATAGACAGATGACTGGATAAAGAAGTTGTGGTATATTTACACAATGGAATACTACTCAGCGATAAAAAAGAATAAAATAATGCCATTGCAGCAACATGGATGGACCTGGAGATTGTCATTCTAAGTCAAGTAAGCCAGAAAGAGAAATGAAAATACCATAAATCATTCATATGTGGAATCTACAAAAAAAAAAAGGAATGAAAAAAGAGGACACTAACAAACTCATTGACAAAACAAAAACAGACTCATAGACATAGTAAACATTCTTACGGTTACTGGTGGAAAGGGATAAATTTGGGAGTTAGAGATTTGCAAATGTTAATCACTATATAAAAATAGATAAGAAACAAATTTCTTCTGTATAGCACAGGGAACTCTATTCAATGTCTTGTAATAATCTTTAATGAAAAAGAATATGGAAATGAATATATGTATATATATGCATGACTGGGACATTATCTTGTGCACCAGAAGTTGACACATTGTAACTGACTACTTCAATTTTAAAAACATCAGACCTTGTATTGATGAATGTAGCCTGTGGATATTTTCACTTAGAGATGCTATTGGGACTTTCGGAATGAAGACAAGCCAGTAGTCCCAGTTAGAAGTGACAGCATCAACTGAGGGCAGTGTGTGCTGGCTGACAGAAGAAACAATGGGAACTGGGACCATGATGGGGACCTAGTCATCAATAGAACCTGGAATTACGGCTTTTTGCCTAGACTTAGTCAAATACCAAGGACTTCGAGCACTTCTGGGCACTCACGTCTAACTGGGAAGTTGGAAAGCAACACATAGATCTTGTATGCTGGACATTACAGGAATAAAAGTTCCTATGAAGCGTTGTTTCATGGATCTCTGGACACACTCTAAACTAGTCTCAAGTGATCTACTTGTGACATCTTAAAGTCCAGTGTGAGTCAGGTGGGGACCACATTTAACAGTCTGTCTTCTGACCAGTTGAAGACACATGTGGTCCTCCGTGTCACCAGAACGCATCCAGCTATGACAGAAAGACCACAGCTGTAGGGTGGGGTGTGCGTTACTCTGAATAAACAGCAGTAAGACTACATCACCCATATCTCAACAGAACTCAGTTACAAATATGTGATGAATGACTCTGAAAAATATCTTCTGGTGGACCTCTCAATTTCAGGTATGATCAAGTTTTCCAGAAAGAGTGAAACAAAGCTGTCATTAGGTGGACAAGGACTCGAGAGAAAAGTTCTTCTATTAGTGAGATTTAGTGTAAAGAAAGATACAGCACAGGAGGCATTCCAGGCTGACCTCGTCTGGTGGTTGCAGTCAAGCTAGCACATAACCTGGCGACTGTAAAGCAGGTCCAGTGATCCCTAACACACGGTGTTGCTGTAATGGCTGAATGATAAAATGCATGCAGTATGACCGGTGCAGTCCCTGGTGTGCGGTAAGCATTTACAAATGCTTGACCCCGGAGAAAGACTAACACCCAACCATATACCCAATTCAGACCTACACTCAGTCTCAGTTTCCACTGTTGGCTCTGATGAAACAGTGCTAACCAGGAGGGCCACGCCTGCAGAAGGACAACAGGGAGCATTCTTGCAAAGCCCATCTACAGCTCGTGGAAGGTGATGAGCTACAACTTTGCCTTGTGAGTCTGAGTGATGGGGCAGGGCATGCTCCCTGGAGGGCTTATTAAACAGCTGTGATTTGCCCACTGCATCATCCCCCGGACTGAAGTTGCTTGCTTCCCTTACAGTAGCCATCCAGTAGGTAGCTTGTGGCCAGTAGGCTAAGAAGCAGAAGGCAGTTGGTGTCAGCCTCCTGAGATGCCAAGTGGAGAAATTTTTCTCAGGTTTCTGGGTGGGTTTTTAAGCCAACACCCTTGAAAGAAAGCAGAGCCTGCATGCCACAGGCATCTGGGGCACAAGGCCTACACAGTATTTTTGAAAAGTCAGTATCGCTCGCTGACGATAAAGGGGCATTCACTGCGGGCAAAGGCACTCCACGGGAGTGGGTGGAGTTGGGGCTGCCAGGCGGTCCTCGGACTGAGTTTGCAGCCAATTTTCTTTTTCCACCATCTCTAGAGTTGAGTGGGTGCCAATACAGCTAAAAGCTTTGGGAGACACCCATAGACACAGATAGTAAGCCCCCCACTCTCCCAACCCCTGTCTTTTCCATGGAACTTAGCAGCCGCGACCAGGGGCGTCATCACACAGCATTAATTTTTTCCCTTGCCTGGTTTCCCACATTCTGTGACCACCTCAGAGTGTGCCAGGGAAAATATTGAGAGCCTAGGTAAACGAAGGGGAACCCAACATTCACCAGTCTGGCCTTAAAATAGCCAGTGGAACGCCCCCATCCCGGAGAGTACACAGGCGGTGACTGTTAGCTAGTGTGCTCAGAGCACCCGCCCACCCCACCCCAACAGCTCACCCCGATCCCCGTGAAAGCCTATCTCAGACAGAGGACAAAGAAGTAGCCTTTGCTGCCTCGGTCCCTTTTGCCCCCACCCCCCACCCCATGACTTCAGTGAGTATTAATGAACACAGAGTGGCCTGATTGATGCAAACCAGTGCACCCCAGTCTGGGTGGGGTGGAGGGTTGGACAGAGCAACCAGGGAGAGTCAAGAGGAAGAGTGTTCGTGGAGGAGAGTGGAGGCTTCAGGAGTTTCAGGACACTCCCCAGAGCTGAGCACCCAGGAAGAAAGAAAAAGGTCTCCATACAGACTGTTGGACACCCTGGGAGAGACATAGCTCTAGAGCTCACTGCTTGTCACAAGGCTATGTATTCTGGATGGAATGCACGCAGTGGGGAGGGGGGCTCAACAGGAAGAGATGTCAAGA